AATCCCTACACTGAGGATATTCTCCGTGCAGGTCTACCGAGAGATGGGGATGTGTATGGTCTGGAAGGGAATAGCAAGTAGATGGGTGTGGTTGTATGCTGAAGGAATATGTGTATAAGTAGGTGATTTTCTATTTATTCCATGGAGTGGAACAAAGGTTGGAGTAATGGGGGGTGCAGAGGAGAGTGTTTCTAATAGGTTGACTTGGTTTTACAGTATGGATTCAACTTCAGTGGTGGACTTCAACAATATTTATTGAGTCTGTTACTAATAAGAGATTCCCCTCCCCACCCCCCTTTTTAGGCACTTGTGCCTTGACATCCTTAATATCAACCAATGCAGTGGAACGGCTTGTCCCTTCAAGTAGCCAGAACCTCACCAAACAAAGTAACACTAGCATCCTGGGCTTATCTGACTTTGAGATGGAAAGGATTGGCATCGCTGCATCCGTTTCCTTCTTGGGAGGTGTGATTCAGGTAAGTGATACTGAGATGTGGGGATGAAGAAATTGAGACAGTGGCAAAGGAAAGGCAATTGGAGCTTTATTTTTATTCATGTTCATGGGTGTGTCTGTTTAGATGGATAAGGGACAGATGTGCTCTGTCTTTATGAAAATACGGTCTGGTATAGAGAATAGTTACTCTGTTCTCTGGTTGAGTAAATGAGTTAGAATTAATATATTGAAGTTACAGAGAAGTAGTTTTTGACTTTTTAAGAGCAAACTTCCTAAAAAGTGTTTTTCATTTCTGGTTTGGGACCCTGGCTCACCAACTGAGAAAAAAAAAATTATTGGAAAGAATGTTTTCCCCAAAAAGAAAAAAGAAAAATTACAAAAATTCCTCGTTCATCTTAGCAAATGGATTGATTTGAAATGGCACCAGTGTCTCAGCTGATGATAAATTGGACAAAGCTATTTGCACTGGCATGGCGTCACATGAGTGCTATTCTAAACAATTACGTACAGTTCTGTACATTAAAACCAGCTCAGTCTTCCTGACTGGGATTCCTACCTTAGTCTGAGTCCCTGCCCTTGCTTCCAGTCCTACTCTAAGAATTAAAGTAGTTAATCCTTTGTATTCCTAGCATCCACCATCTACAGTTACTCAAAACACATGCTCCCCAAGGAGCTTCCTGCTATTTCATTGAAGAAAAAAGTTCTTTTTGTTCTTTGTTTTTTGGGGTTTTTTTTGTCTTGTCAGTCTAGATTCAACCATATTAAGGCATCAGGCATGGTACCATTTTAGATTTTTAAAATAATTACAAATATGATCATGCAAATTTGATTTTTCCCCACAGAGCCCCATAGATCAACTGATTTTCTAGAATTTCTTGGTAACATGTATGATTAGGAAAAGAGAAACACAGTGAAGTAAATATTCAGGAAAAAATAACATGTTCATTTTAATCGAAACACTTCAATTGTTCCCAATAACATTGAGAGTCCTGGAACCTGGTAACGCTATCAAGAACATTCAAGGGATTGAGCACCTAAAATTGCAGAACCTCATTTTCCATTAGTTCTCTCTGTCTGTGTGAAGCGAACATGTTTTGGATATTAAACTGTCTCGCAACCGTGGGAAATTTCCTGTGCTGTCCTCTTAGGTGGCTATGTTTGTCCTACAACTGGGCAGTGCTACGTTCCTGCTCACGGAGCCTGTGATCAGCGCAATGACAACTGGGGCTGCCACACATGTTGTGACTTCACAAGTCAAGTATCTCTTGGGAATGAAAATACCTTACATATCCGGGCCACTTCGATTATTTTACGTGAGTTTTCCATATGTCTTTGTTCATATATTTTGGTGTGTATTTCACAAAGTAGGATTTGGCTCATTACAATACTGAGGTATTTCCATCTTAAAGAAACTTGGATTATCTATAATAATAAAAGCATAATAGGCTAATTAGACCGGACCACCAAGAGCACAAGGCAAGCTTGGCAATCTATTTGACTGCCCTTGTTGGAAGTTTTATCTCCTTCCTTAAAAACAAGGAGTTTCAGAACTGGAAAACAGTTTCATTCTCAACCCCGTCTCTGCAGTACAAGCAAAGCACTTTTCTCACTTAAACACTCCTGCAGGCTGCAAAGGAGGAACCAAGAATGTTAATAAAAGGGGATTAAAAAGTCAGAAGGAAAGCAGAGCCCATGAAACTTTTTCTTTTCTAGAGGATGAGGTCACAATTAAATATGTACAAATGAGGTTTAGATGTGGAGAGCGAATCTGGGATTTCTGAGTCAAGAATACATAGTGGTTTATTGAAAGCCCACATCTCTTCCCCAGTTATTTTGATATTTCTATTGTGAATTTTAGGAATGTTTAATATGCCCTGAAAAATGGACAGCGTAAATTGAATGGGAGAGAAACAGAAAGCTCATCTGTAGCTTGGTTCAATCGTGGCTTGGGATAGAAACTGTAGCAGGTTATAGGGCCTGGCTTTTCATCCCTTTGCATATTTCATGCCAATCCTGTATTCCTCTTGCTGCTTTTAAGATTCTTTCTTTGACTTTAACCTGTACACTGAGACAATACAAAATAAAATTGAAAGTAAACTGTAAGAAAAAAATAAATAAAAATGAAAAGTACACATAAATAAAAACAAAGAATACACACACACACACGCACACACACACACACACACACACACATATAAATACATGGAAGGCATACAGTCTTCTCACATTCTATGTATTTTAGGCAAAAGAGACCCCCCTCACTACTTCTCTGATCCATCATCTGGCTGATTCCTGTTTATCTTCTTTAGGGACAGCTCTGCTGACCACTACCTCCTCTAAGACACATATGCTTTGGGTGCACCTTCTATGTTTATAGCACCATAATGAACTAATTTGTTGTTTTAATTGGTAATGTACGCACTAGATTATTAGCTCTATAAATGCTGAGGCTCATCGAAATTGTTCACCTTTGCAGACCTAGAATTGAGCACGGTGGTTGGCATAAAGCATGTGGCAATAAAAAGGTAAATAAAATATTGAATGACTGAGAACATGGTAATATTTTACACTAAATCAAATATCTGATATCATTAAAATACCAGTGCTTAACTCCTTTGTATTTGATTCTTGGGTTTGAGGGAGAGTGGGGGGTCCCACAGAGCCTATGAAATCCCCTCACTGCACTTAACAGTAAGTCTCCATGTAACTGACGAGTTTGAGCATCTCTCTTCACTGAAGTGGCTGGGAAGGAGGAGTCATACATACTGCTCTTATGTAGAAAGAAGCAACCCCTGCGTTCGCTACAAGCATCAAGGGCAAAGCAGCGAATTAGAGCTTTGCACTGACCACCCATCTATACCTCACCTTCCCATCCTAGAGCCATTAAGATTTCTTGGTAAACATCACTGAGTTCATTTGGAGTCAGAGGTGGTTATCGTGTGGGTGACCCTATATTTTCTTTGTATTTCTTCTCATCATTGTAGATCTACATATATGTCTTTGAGAACATCAAGTCTGTTCGCCTGGAAACCCTGCTCTTATCCTTGCTGAGCATTGTGGTGCTTGTGGTGGTGAAAGAGTTAAATGAGCAGTTTAAAAGGAAAATTAAAGCTGTCCTTCCTGTCGATTTGGTTTTGGTGAGTATGAAATCTGCAGTTAGCATTCTGCCCTACAATGTTTGCCAGCTGTTGGGGTGACCTGCTGAGGTTCACCCTGTTGCCTACAGTAACTCACATCTGTTCCTACCTCTCATAAAGATGTCTCATTTGTGTGGCTATCCATTCATGTAAGACCAGGAAACATTTGAAGTCACTGATTTTAAAAAGGACACACACACATGTTTTCAGTTATTACAGCATTTTTCATATTCTGGTTGTTTTTACCGAAGTACAACAACATGTATCCTAAGGCTTTGAATATGGAGACATTTCTAGAGGAGGCCAGAGGCTGTGGCATAACAGGAGGCTGTGTGCCCTTGCTCATGCCAGGGACGGGGTTCATAGCTAAGATACTGCGCAATCAGCCTGAAAAAAACACACACACAAGAGAAGCGTAGCTGATTGGACATATTTTATCTAAGGAGCTCTGAAGAGAAACCTAGAGACTGGAGAGGAGGGCGTATGGAAAGGGGGAGTTTCCTGGGAGTTGGTGCTCGGCTGAGAGGCCCGAGTGACACTGGCTGCAAAGTTTTCACCTTGCTTTTTACATTACAACCAAAAAAGGAGATGTCCGTGGGTCACGTGGAATCCACTGGGGATAGAGTAGGGAGGTGGGAGAAGGCAAAGTGGGGAAACTCTGGGATTGGATAAAAAGTAAAAGGATAGATATGCTTACCTTTTTTACATAGGTGGGTATAGGAGAGTTCACAGTCAACAATGAACTCAGTGACAATGAGGGGTCTGTGATTTCCACAGAGCACGCCTGTTCTTTGAGGGGTCCGGATAAAAGGAAAATTACTTTGACATTCCAAGGATATGTTATCATAGATGCAAAAAGGCAGTATTGAGAGATACAGTTAAGGTAAAGATTGACCTTTGTCGAGGAAGATACCAGCCTAGGACATGACTACCTACCATAAACTGCTTTTAGTTAAAAAAAAAGAAAAGTTTAAATTTCAGACCATCCTTTGTGGTTACCTCAGTTTTCTGAGTTTGCAAGGCCACCTCGCAGGCTTTCTCTGAGCTAGTCAGGTTAGCATGTGGCCCCTTTTTGTCCACATTATTGATTACTAATCTCTATTAGGAATATCAATGCAATTTCTCAAAACATGCTATTTTCTAAAGCATCCCTTCATGTCACAAGAGACAAGTGTTAAGGTTGGATTGTGGTAACTTCACACACACACACACACACACTCCTATAGTCTGTTTTTCTCCTCTTCAAAATTATACATAATTGGGCTTAAGTAGAGTAAAACATTAAAAAAAATCCTACATAATAAAAAGCTAATATGCAAATAGACCAAAGGGTGGAACAACCGAACAACTGGTTGCTATGACGTGTGTTGACCACCAGGGGGCGTCAGTGCGTGGGAGTGGCAGCAGCGAGAGTGGGGCTGCTGGCAGACAGGGGACTGGGGGCTGTGGCAGGAGGGTGCACTGGGCCTCTAGTCTATATAATAAAAGCCAGAACCACCAGAATGACTGGTCACTATGATGTGTACTGACCACCAGGGGGCAGATGCTCAATGCAGATGTTCAGTGTGCTCCCACAGGGGGAGCGTCACTCAGCCAGAAGCCAGGCTCACAGCTGGCTAGTGCAGTGGTGGTGGCGGGAGCCTCTCCTCCCTCTGCAGCAGCACTAAGGAGCAGTGAGCCAGCTGAGCATTAAGGAGCAGCAAGCAGGGGGGCAGTAAGGAGTGAGGGATCCCAGACTGCGAGTGGGCTCAGGCCGGGCTGAGGAACTGCCCCCCACCCAAGTGCACAAATTTCATGCACCAGGCCTCTAGTATTATTATAATGCCATTTAATTTTCGAGACTGTAAATTAAGTGCTCTCAAATATCAGAAGTATTCTTTGAATTTTAAAATTTCCTAATTTTTAAAAATCTTTATAACTGCTACATCATTCATGACAATCCTGGGACCCATGAACAATGTTTACTTTCAACGTTAATTTTTAAAAAGGTGTTTGAAAGGCTACTAGTAATTTTTTTTCTCCCAAATGTAACCACACAGGTCATTGCTGCATCATTTGCTTGTTATTATACCGATATGGAAAATACATATGGATTAGACGTACTTGGTCATATTCCAAAAGGGTAATGTCTTTTTTCTTACTTTTTTGTTTGTATGTTTCTTTGTTTTTTATGGAAGAAGAGACTAGACGGGAGGTAGGTGGTATGGATTTTATTTCTTTCAAAGAATAATATTCTAATTACTTACTATTTTTAAGTGTTAAAAACAAATAATACACATGTAGAGAAAGACTAATGTCTTAGACTGTTTGCATGTAACCAGGAAAGTTGATAACTGTTTTTTCAAATTTATTGTTGACAGTATTACAGTTGTCCCCAATTTCCTATCCCCGGCTGTCCCTCTTTATGCATCCCGACCCCAGGCCTTCCCCACGCTATTTTCTGTGTCCATGAGTTATGCATATTAGTTCTTTGGTTAATCTCTTCCTGCCTCCCAACTCCTTCCCTCTGAGATCTATTGTTGATTATTTTATACACATTGCTTCAGATAAAAGATTTGGAAATTATTTACAAAAATATTGTTGTTTTGTTCTTTTATTAAATATATATTTTTATTGATTTCAGAGAGGAAGGGTGAGTGAGAGAGAGATAGAAACATCAACGATAAGAGAGAGCCCCACACTGGGGATCAAGCCCACCACCCAGGCATGTGCCCTAACCGGTCATTGAACCAGGATCTTCTGGTTCATAGGTTAGCGCTCAACTACTGAGCCACGCCAGTTGGGCAATTGCTATTTTTTAAATGAGGGCATTGCATTTCTAAAATAGAGTCATGTGCTGGGATTTAGTCTTCCCCATTTCACTTACATATTCTTATGACTACTTTTATTTCACTTAAAACACAGTAAAAGTACACAAGCATTACCTGAAATAGCAAACCCATAGGCTAGGGTATTGTATAATGGTGAGGGAGAGAGTGGAGTGGAAAAGAGGGCGTGGCTTCCTTTCTGTCTGAAAGCTTTTCTCTGAACACTAAGAGGAAGGTTAACAAGAAGAGCTGTTCACCCTGAAAGGGCAAAAGGTTGTTCCAAGTATAGCCTGAAAGAAACAAAGGCATCTTCAGGAAGAGAATGTATCTTAGGGCTCATTTCCTTTTAAGGAGCTGTGTACATACCAATATTTATAAATTTGGGGCAAAGTTAGTTATTGAGTTCTCTCTAATTTTACCTTTCACTCCCAAATTTTGGTTTCTAACTACATTAAAATGGAGGGAAAATAGAAAACATTTAGAGATTAAAAAGGTAATTTTAAAAATTCTGTGTTTAGCCTTTATGCAGTTAAAGGTTAATGGTGATTATCTGGGTCAATTTGGTTTTTATAAAAAGTTATCCACTTTTCCACCTTCAAAAGTCAGTTTAGCCCTAGCTGGTTGGTCTCAGGGGATAGAGCATCAAGCTGTGGACCGAAAGGTCCTGGGTTTGATTTCAGTCAAGGGCACATGCCTGGGTTGCAGGCTTCATCCCCAGTAGGGGGTGTGCAGGAGGCAGCTGATCAGTGATTCTCTCTCATCATTGATGTTTCTATCTCTCTCTCCCTCTCCCTTCCTCTCCGAAATCAATAAAAATGTATATATTTTAAAAGTCAGCTTATTGTTTCTTTCTAGGTCAGTTTATTGGTATTAACAATTAGGCAAGCTCAATTTCCATGAAACAGAAGTTCTAATACTTTCAGCCGAAACCGGTTCGGCTCAGTGGATGGGGCATCGGCCTGCGGACTGGGGGATCCCAGGTTCAATTCCGGTCAAGGGCATGTACCTTGGTTGCAGGCACATCCCCAGTGGGGAGTGTGCAGGAGGCAGCTGGTCGATGTTTCTCTCTCATCGATGTTTCTAACTCGCTATCTCTCTCCTTTCCTCTCTGTAAAAACTCAATAAAATATATTTTTTTAAAAAAAGAAGTTCTAATACTTTCAAATGGTAGTACTTTTGTATAGCATATATTTTAGAGCCTATAGTGATACAAGTACTTTTGTTTTGGGGGTAAACTTTAGCAAGTAGGTAAAAAAATGTTTGCCTCTCCTCCATCCACACTAATTCTCCTTTATTTTGGGTGAACTTTCCAGACCTAGCCTCTTAAGGAATCAACAAGAGTGGGGCATTGAAATTAGACAGAGCTGAGATCGGCTCTACCATTCACTCTCTGATTTAGATACATTCCCTAGCCGCCTTCTCCATACAGTTAATATGAAAGGGCTGAGCAATCTACTTACTTACTAGATATTAAATGAACATGTATTGCCTTCCCTGTTTCTTCTTCTTTTTCCCCAGAGGGATGGATGAATATATAGTCTATCCATCCCAAAGAATCATCAGGCATAAATAAATGATGAGACTTTATTTGGTGCAAGTGATTTTCAAATGACAATAAGACAATGGTCAGGTATTCATTGAAATAAATATTTTAAATAATTCTTTAAACCTGAGATACAGTTAACTGTGGTCCCATATTTTGCAACAGAGGATACATGTAGCCTTTATGCATATTTTCCTTGACACATGTGATGCATAGTTAAGTGTGCTGTGAAAAGACTGAGTTAGAAACATAATTAAGCTGATGAACTCAATGGCAAATTTAAGGATTAGCTCAGGAAATTATAGCTCACAGTAAACTAGTGTCCTCATACAGATCTATAGTGTTCAAGGCAGGTAATGCAGTCTCTAATGCCAGCCAAATAAATATTTGAGAAAGTTCAAATGAAAGAATGCTCCAAATATGCTTTTGTTCTGATATAGAACATTTTCGTCAAGTCAGTTCCTGTGGTGAACTTGGGTGCAGATGGCAGTGGTGTGGTGTTGACCCTGTGGTGTTCCTTGCGATTTTGCTTTTCTGTTAAATAATGTTGAAAACAAAGGGTTTCTAAGGGCAAGGCTGCCTGGCGTTCTCATGAGCATCTTACTTATTCTATGTAAACTTCAGAGTCACCGCCATAGTGGAATTCATTGCAAGTTGTTACAGAAATTACATGAAAGTTGATGACTTCATTATGTATTTCTTTCCGCAGAATTCCTTCGCCTAAACCTCCCTCCATGAATGTCCTCTCTGCAGTAATCAAAGAAGCTTTTGGAGTAGCACTTGTGGGCTATGCGGCCTCCCTGGCTCTTGCTCAAGAATCTGCCAAAAAATTCAAATATTCAGTGGATGACAACCAGGTGGAGTATGCCCCAGCCCCTCTCCGTAGCTATCGTATCATCATGCTGTGAACTCCCAGATCCTGAAAATGTTGACCCTATGAAAAATATAACTTTCCCACCTGTACAGAAAGAATAGATTGGCCAAAAACAAAAGAAAATCTCTAAATCAGTTATAGCTGAATATTTGTCCTTATGGGTTGGTTTATAATTTTATCTTATTTTGAGAGAGAGGGACATCTTGATTTTCTTTTTAATTTGCTTTTAGGTGAGAATCTAAATATATTACCATTGAGTACTTACTTTTTAATTTTTTTCTTTATTGATTAAGATATTACATATGTGTCCTTAACCCCCCTTTACTGCCCCCCCCCCATGCCCTCACCCCCCTGGTGTATGTGACCATTGGTTATGCTTATATGCATGCATACAAGTCCTTTGGTTGATCTCTCCCCCATACCCCCCCCTCTCCCCTACCTTCCCTCTGTATAAATTTCAGGTGTACAACTTTATAATATGACATCTGTACACTCTTTTTAAATTTTTTTTTATTGATTAAGTTATTACATATGACTCCTTATCCCCACATTACCCCCCCACACCCATGCCCTCACCTCCCTGTTGTCTGTGTCCATTGGTTATGCTTATATGCATGCATACAAGTCCTTTGGTTGATCTCTCCCCCATACCCCCCCCTCTCCCCTACCTTCCCTCTGAGGTTTGACAGTCTGATTGATGCTTCTCTGTCTCTGGATCTGTTTTTGTTCATCAGTTTATGTTGTTCATTATATTCCACAAATGAGTGAGATCATGTGATATTTATCTTTCAAAAATGATGGTTTTTAAAGTACAGAAAACACTAGTATTACTCTTCTTAGTAGAAACCTAAAGGACGCGAGCATCTACTTTTGGAAGGCCAAACAATGAAGATCATGTTGATCGCATTTCAAAATTGATTTCTCCCAGCGTCTTGGTTTAAGCCCTGTGGCCCCCATTCCTACAGGTCAGCAGAGATAGCTGTGGAAAACTGGTTACAAATGTCAAATCACCTATGTCTAATCTCACTCTGACACCGGGTGCCCTTCATTATTTTTGTGCCCCAGTTTTGTCATCTGTATAAAAGAAGATTTATTCATTCAACTGATGTGTATCAAATCCTACTGTACCAGGCACTAAGAACAAGGGACACCGTAGTGTACAACAGAGACCCTATCTTTTCTCAACTCAGAGCCTACCAGGGCTTTACCCTTGTATTCAGATTAAAAATCTCTTCACCAAGGTTTACCAAGCTCTACATCCCTTTGTTTCTCTATACATCCCTTTTTTCTTTTTTCTTCTTTACTCTGTTGCCTGCTTTTCATTGAACCCACCGCTGATGATTCTGGCTCAGGACATTTTGCACTTGCTCCTCCCTTTTCCAGAAGCTGTTCCCCTGCATATTTGCATGCCTCCCTTATTTAAATGCTCACTTCTCAGAGAAGCCTTCCCGGGTAAGATAAAATCCTAAACTCCAGACTTTCCACTCCCTTCTGTGCTGTACTTGACATATTCATCTTGTTTGTTGTCCGCATTCCCTCACAAGGATGTCAGTTCTGTAAGGGCAGGGATACTGGTCTCTGTAGGTTACTGGTAACAGGAAAGGCAGAAAGAAGACATCAGGAGGTTTTTATAAGAATCCAGGTAAAATTAGACAGTGTGTAGCAGGATGTAGCAATGGAGGAGATGAGAAGTGGACCGATTCTAGATTGTGGATACCATCTGGGAAAAAGGGAAGGAGTCAGAATATTGTCATGTGATGCTGATTGATGGGGATACATATTGAAAAATGTGTCATTAGAGTATTTTGTCATTTTTAAACATCAGAGTTCTCTTATGCAAACCTAGATGGTATCACCTACTACACACCTACATATATGGTATAGCCTATTGCTCCTAGATTACAAACCTGTGCAGCATGTTACTGTACAAAACAACATGAGATTTAACCAAGCCCAATAAAAATAATATAATCAAGAAACACAGTAAACATGAGATATATGAGGCTGCTGTCAGTGTTACAGCATTGATTATAGCGATTTAAAAGATGGGGGAGAAACTGGCAACAGAAACAATAAATATCTTGTATTTTCCCATAAGGTTGTTATGAGGATTAAATGATTAAAGTACTTGCAATGGTTTCTTGCTAATTTAATCACTCAGTAAATGTCCACTTTTTTTTTAATGGTTAAATCACAACCATTGGAGAGAACAGAAATGGGATATAAACAAGACTTATTGTTTGATAGGTTGTGCCTGTGGTCTCTAAAAGTTGATTGTTATTAAGAAGTGATGTATTCCCATATTATCAATCTTCTAGGAATGTTTGGCTCATGGCCTCAGCAATGTGGTTTCTTCATTTTTCTTCTGCATACCAAGTGCTGCCGCCATGGGAAGGACCTCTGGCCTGTACAGCACAGGAGCAAAGACACAGGTAACTTCATTGTCTGGCAGGAAACTCCCTGGCCTTTACTCTCCCTCTGGGGAAGAGTGCTGAAGAGCGGGCTTCTATCTAAAGCACAGAAGATAGCCTGGCTGGCGTGGCTCAGTGGTTGAGCATCGACCTATGAATCAGAAGATCATGGTTCGATTCTTGGTTGTTCTGGGCTCACCAGGGCTTGCAGGAGGCAGCTGATTAATGATTCTCTCTCATCATTGATGTTTCTATCTCTCTCTCCCTGTCCTTTCCTCTCTGAAATCAACAAAAATAAAAATATACTTTTTAAAAAGTACAGGAAATAGTTTTACTTCTTCATTTTTTCCTAACTACTTTCAAGGAAGTCTATTTCTCCTCTCTTTCTTGTAAATGTTTCTTCCAAAAGCCAATGACTCAGTGAGCTGACAAAAAAATACTGTACCAATAGCAGCTTTACTGTTGGCAGCCTTTGAGCCAGAGCTCTCAGTACTGGAGCCTCTGTTTTTCTGTTTTTGCTAAGCTAATCAATTTGAAAAATTTCCATTCTTGTTCACTTTCTTTAAATGAGATGAATTATAATTTATTTAAATCAATCATATAAAAAACTAGAGGCCCTGTGCATGAAATTTCCAACCCAGCCTGCACCTTCTCGCAGTCCAGGATCCCTCTCTCAGTCCAGGACCCCTCACTCCTTACCGCCTGCCTGCATGAGAGGCGGAAGAGGCTCCCACTACCACAGCTGAGCCTGACTCCTGCATTGAGCGTCTGCCCCCTGGTGGTCAGTGTGCATCATAGCAACTGGTCGTTCCTCTGTTCAGTCAATTTGCATATTAGGGTTTTATTATATAGGATTAGTCATTAACATTGAGATTCCTGTATGAATAGATGTGCAAGTTTTTAAATAAGTAATAAGATGTTTGTGCACATTTGAGGTTAAAGAAATAATTATTATATATTTTTAGGAACTCAAGTCAACTCAACACTTGAGTGCCTCCTCTATACCAAGTATTATGATACTGGTAAGATGACAGTGATGACAATGAAGATAATCTGTGATGATTATTCAGAGCAGCAGTGTTGGTGGAAACATATATTGATTTATGTGCCAGGCATTGCATATCATACTTTCTATGTAAATGAATGCATTTAACCCTTTATAGGCAACTTTGAAGGAAGTATAATTATTATTCTCAATTTCCACATGCTAAAATTGAAGAAAAGAAGGTTAAAGTAAATTACCCAGGTCACAGAGCTAATAAGTTGGGAGAGCTGGGATTTTAACCCAGATAGATTTACTCCAGATCTTGCACTGTTAACCATACTTCTATACAAGAAAATGCATGTATGTAAGAAAATGCATGTATGTGTTATAATATAATCTCATATTATCTGCTCACCATTATTAAAACAATTCACATTGGAATTGAATAATGATTTATAAAATATTTTATGTGACAGGTTGAACATTTTTAGGAGCCTGCCCTTATAGTAAGTCTTTTCTGGGGGGTGATCAGAAGAATACATTTGAAAGGGTGTGGTTTTTTACTTTGGGGAGCAAGTGGCAGGAGAAAGATGGGTGAAGACCAGCAGGAGTTTTAAGTATGCTATTAAAAATCTGTAATGGACAGTCAAGGGCTTTACCAGCCAGGTGAGCTTGCCAAACAAAACTTTCAGTGTAGATTTTACCTTTAGTTAGTGACCTTAAAGAAACAAGTTACAGTTAAAGATTGAATGGAAGAACCTGTTATTGTTCCACATCTGGATGTTGCTGTTTACATTCCTTTGTTGAACCTGTATCTGCCTAAGCTTTTTAGCAGGTTTGTGGCAAACACTCTGTTTCACAGTCAAGACAGGATCCGAGGGCATGGATACTGACAACGGATTTGCCTGTTTCATCCTGTCTTTTCCATGACTATACCTACTGCCTCATCTTGATTTATAATCAAAACCTGGAAGACCTACAAAAATGTGTTTTGTAGTCATCTAGGAATAACACAGAAAATATTCCTGCTACTTTTGGTGCAGAAAGTCAATTTTGTATAGTTTATTTCAATGTAAATAAAATGTGAGTTTTGTTTAAAAAAAATAATAGAATCATTTTCTCATCCCTCAACCTGCTTGATTTTAGTAATTTAGCAGCTTGACTATTATGATTTCATTTACATTTCTTCACTCTATTCCTAAGTATAAAATGGTAAAGAGTTGAAGAAAAGTAAAATACCTAAAAGATGTTTGTCCTATGGGTAATTAAGGGTGTGAACATTTTACTAGTTAAAACATATAAGTAAGGGGGTAGTTAGGTGTTTGGTTTTTTTTCTGAGCTTAAAAAAAATACAAGTTTATCTTTCTTGTTCTGGCTGCAACTTGCTTTTAAATTTTTTGTTTTAGTTGATCAGAGATGTATAAGATAGCAGCACTTTATGTGCAAATTAAAGTGTACTCAAAAAGGTGCTAAAACTTGAAAATATAACTCAATCTTGAAGTTAGAGAAGTCTATTATAGCACTGAAAATATCTCATCTTAATCTAACTTTTTTTTTTTTTGCATTTACTGAGTTGTCCATTTCTGAAGTGATGGCTTGGACTGCATGATCTCACAAATTTTTTAAAAAAATCTAAAGTTTAGCATCTGGATCTCTTACTTATGGAGACAACGAATGCAGTATTTTGAGAACATTGAGGGCAGAAACTATTATATTATTGATTTTCATGCCTGAGGAGGAAATACATGAGGCAGAACTGATAAAAATTTCTTGTCCAATTAGATGCGCTTGTCTTTTGTCCTCGGGCATCAACAGTGATGAGGCAAGTGCAGCAGAAAAGCTGACATTCGCCATTTGTTTATCTGACCTATTTTATTTTGTGACTTCCCATGTAAGGGAAACAAATAGTGTGTTTCACCCACCATGTGTCACTTTTGTAAGTAAGACCCTTTTAACTCTTGAGTTATTTTAACAATAGGACCGGAATTGTAGTTTAGTAAGAATGTTATTGTTGATGTACATACAAAGCATCATGTCAATAAAAGATAAGTTAAATATTATTTAGAGAAAAGCCCAAAGGTAGTTATAGTTCACTGTTTTGAAATAGGATTATTTAATTAAGTTGTATTTTCTAGATCATCTTTACTATACTATAAGATATTTTTGGAACCTTAAAATATATTTAGCTTGATGGATCCCAATTTAGTTCATGGTCCATATTCCTTCTAACTCCTTAGTTTTATGACTTTCGTCAAATCTCCTTGTTTCCCTGGGCCTCAGAGCCTTTCACAGAGTGTAGACTGCCTTTCCCCAAGTTGATATCTGCAATTAAGAATAAGAGTTTTATTTTCAGATACATTGTCAGTCTATGAGTGAAGATCCCATCAAAGGGGGGCATGCCATTGTCTTTTATCGTGAAATAAACCTTGTCAGTTGTCCTTCCCCCCCCCCCATATAAGCAGGGATACAATGAGTCACTTATTAAAGCATCTGAATAATTTCTGTGACTTGCTCTTGACACCTAGCTCTCTCTGATTTAGTGGAAGGACAGCATTGATTTGTGTTTACCATTTTTATCAAAGCCCAGCCTGTGTAGCTCAATGGTTGAGCATTGACCTATGAAGCAGGAGGTCACGGTTTGATTCCCGGTCAGGGCACATGCCTGAGTTTTGGGCTCAGTCCCTAGGAGGGAGGGGGTGTGCAGAAAGCAGC